AGTCCAAAACACTGATTGTCCAGCACCTTGGGATGTCCTCCTGACGTGAAAGGCGCTATAAATATGTAATTTTGTTGTTGTGCATTTGCTGAACACAGCATCCAGCACACTTGAGATTTATTTGCTGATCTGCTGCTACAATACTTCTATTTACAACCTCTTGGGATTATGTACACATGAATTGTAATTTTAAATAAATAATAATCCTTGCATTTCATATAGCTCCTTTGAATCAGGATGATGTCAAAGCACAGACTGTATTTGTAATCAAGCATGGCAGCCAATTTGTGCAGAGCAATGTTCCACAAAGAGCCATGGAGTGAATGATCAATTTTATTTGGGGGAGAAATTCCATTCTCTTTTCAGATAGTATCATGGGATCTTTAAAGTCCACCTTAACAGGCACAGACGGGACCTTGATTTAGCGTTTCATGCGGAGGATGGTACCTGCAACAATACAGCGCACCCCCCCCCCCCCCCCCCAGCACTGCATTGAACTGTCAGCCCTATGTGACTATGTGAGCTCAAAGTCCTGATACGGGGTCTTGAACCCACAACCTTCTGCTTCTTTAGGTTAGCAGAAATAATTTTACCTTTGAAGGTTTGGTATCCTCATAGCACAAAGAATATTTTTATGAAATACAAGAGGCATAATGCCATTCAGCCCCTTTTTCAACAACTGACTTTAGGAGTTTTACAAATCTCCTTCTTAAAGTCCATATGTCCATATTTCTTTTCTTCACCAGAAATCAAATGTATTTGTGGGCCTTTGAACAAGGTTTGCTGCACTAGGTGGCAGTCATTACCATATATTCATAAGAAACCATGAAAATATTACTTGCCAACTGTTTGTGGACTTCCAGTTCATAAGTACTTCATATAATTCTCAATTATCTTTTTCACGGGCAGGGATTCTTCCCATTCAGCTCCGTTAACCCTGTTAGCCCTAATAGGTTAGATGGTCTAAGATAGACAAGCAACAGAAAGCTTGCCTGATAATGTTTTCAATGGCAAGCTATGTGGTTTTAACTCGGTAGATTCCAGCAGTTAACCCAAAGCACACTCAAGCACACTCTTGGATCCCTCAAGCCTTGGCTGTTCCCAACCTGTGCCTAATACTCTCCAGAGTTAGGATATGAAATTACTGTCTGGAAAGCTTTCCAACAGCTAGGACCCTACCCGTAGGGGTTTGGGCTTGCAGAGTTAATGGGAACTGAGGATGAAAAGTTCCGGCCCTCAGTTTGCAGGATTTACTGAAAATATTTTTCTAAGCGATCGTGGCAGCAATGTCCCACAAACAAGCGAATGAACAAATTTTACCTGTGGATTGTTAGCTAGACCCTAGAGAAACTCCTTTCTCTTTTTGAATTTTTAACGTTCACCTGATCAGGCAGACGGGACCTTGGATTAATGTCTAATTTCAAAGCAGGGCATGTCTGATAATGTGGCTCTTCCTGAACATTGCCATGAGTGCCAGCCTAGCAAGAGCTCAAATTCCTGACGTGGGGCTTGAACCCACAACCTCTGACTCAAGATGCGAGAGTGCTCCCAACTGAGCCAGGCTGAACTTTTAAAGCATTAAAGAAATAACATTTATATTACATTACCAATCATGAGACCCTGAAGGAGGTTTAAACCATTTGTTTTTTAGTCCGGAAACCCATCACCGTTGCTTAAGAGTCTCCAAACCAAACTGAGAATTCCATGCATCCCACGTACACCTGGAAATCCCAGAGATAGATGGTTGGGATGGAATGCGCAGTCTCTCTACCTGGAGGGACTCGTCCTGTTTACCTAAATCCGGAAAGTATTAGGCGCAGGTTGGCAAGACTTGGGAACCCCGGAGTGTGCGTTGGGGTAACTGTTGGGAGTCCAACCAGCTAAAACAGCATAGCTTGCCATTGAGA